ATTTTTTGGAACTGTGAACTTAGTTCAAAATTTTGAATTATGAACTATGAACTGAACTAGTTCATTTTTAAAATGTGTGAACTGAACTTTGAACTAGTTCACGTAGAAAGAGAACTTTCCCAACACTGGGTATCGGTTGTTGAGTGAAGGAAAGGTGAAATAACTCATTTTTTCCCCCATTTTACCCGATGTATTCCAACATCCCACCGTAAAAAATGGCCGCTCCCAGACTCAGTGATCGCAATTAAAATTATTATTTGTATTTTTTTACTGATTAACCCTAAATTCATTCAATCACAGCGAACGTAGTTTTAGGTATAAATAATGATCCGTTGATTATTCCTGCTGACCGAACTTTTTCTTCAAGAAACAAATCTGACTGCTTTCATTTACAGAAAAAGCTACTTTTACCCAAAATGAACAAATGAATCTGCCAATCAAAGCCTTTTACTCAAAGGGTAGATCAGTCACCATGTGGAGGGTTTGATTCCAGCCTCCACCTGTCATCGGTCATTGTGCCTCCCAGCAAGGCACTGACCCCCAGGTTGGCTATGATCTGCGTTGAAATGCGAGTTCTCTGATTGGTCAGCGGATCTTTATAGATTCTGCCATTTTAACTGAGTCACCGCGTTCCTCGACAGGCAGAAATAATCCCACAGGTCTCAGGTCTGGATGAGGTCACACTGAAAGGGGGAGATCTAACACACCACCCTCTATGGGGCAGTCCCAGGTTCCAGTCCCAATTTGAGACCCCCCCCCAAAATCCCATTCCTGTCAGCTTTTAAACCATGAAACATGTTAATAAAAGAACCAGGAGAAAAGGAGACGGTTTTTCTCCTGTCCACTGGATCCCAAATTCTGCAGTTGAGATAGACGGTCCAAGCCATATTTTCTGCCAATAGCAGGGTTGGAGTAACTAACCCTAACCCTGCACCTAACCCTCCACCTACACCTAACCCTCCACCTACACCTAACCCTCCACCTACACCTAACCCTCCACCTACACTAGGGTGACCAAACGTCCGTATTTCCCAGGACATGTTCGTATTTCACGTCCTGTCCTGGGCATCCTGGTTTTTTTTTAGAAAGTGAGGAAATGTCCTGTTTTTTTAAATTACCTTCATTGGACCATTAAATTTACAGACGCTAGGGCACTGCGCACGACGCTGCGTGTGACGTCACCCCTGAGCCGCGTCAGTGCGGGCAGCCCTGTTCTTAATCAGAATATAGATAGCGTGGTTGTCAGTACGCCAACAACATGCAAAGGCACAAATGTATGTTTACCGACGATTTACAAAAGAGTTTCCCCGCTTTCAGACCGGATCGAGACAATGCTTTCAGACCGGATCGAGACAATGCTTTCAGACCGGATCGAGACAATGCTTTCAGACTGGATCGAGACATATGTGCCTGCTTTACACAGTCTCAGTGTCCAATAGAGGTGCAAGCGATCTGAAAAGCCACCTGGACTCCGAAAGTAAAGATAGTCTATTGATATGTTTGTTCGTTTTTGGTACATTTTGAGTTATTTTTGCTACAAAAGAGGTATTTTTTGTTAATTAGCTCATTTATTTATTTTTTCCAATAACCTACAGAACAGACATTATTTCTTTCATTGCTGAGGCTGAGTATCATCTGTTATTGGGAGTTGAGAGTTATTGTTAACTTTTATTGTTAAGTGAGGGATGTTTAGATGAGATATTATTTCTTTCATTGTGCTATTCATTCATTACAGGAATTGTTAAGCATTTTTAATAAATACATTTTGAATAAAATTATCATTTGTTATTGGAGTTATTGCTGTTGACTTTTACTGAAAAACATTTTTAATAAATCAACTGTTAATATCATGTTATTGTAGGATTACCTAGGCCTACTGTATGCATGGGAACAGAGATCCCCCGCCGCCGCCCCCCCGCTCCAAGGTGTCCTGGTTTTTCAAAATGAAAATATGGTCACCCTAACCTACACCTACACCTAACCTTGCACCTACACCTAACCCTAACCTTGCACCTGCACCTAACCCTGCACCTAACCCTGCACCTAATCCTCCACCTAACCCTGCCCTCTTTCTTGTGTCAGATTTGGCCGATAAAGCAGCCATGATGTCCCTCAATCGGCTATATGCTGTAAAAAAAAAAAAAAAAATTGATTCGTCAGTAAATGTTTCTAATTTGTAATTGTTCAATTTTTATCATTTGACAAGAGGAAGATAAAACCTCATCAGCCTAAAGCATCATCTCAAAAAATAAAAATCAGAAACCGATACTGAGGTTCGGTTAAACTGATGTCAACATAATCGGTACCAGCCTTAAAAACCTGTCCTGGTTTATCTTTATCCTGCAGGGCGTCTCTGATAAATCAGATGGAGTGAAAGCCTCCAAGGATAATGAAGGAGAAGCTTCCCACATCACCACACTGCCTCCACCAAAAGCAACCTGGAACTAAATATTCATGTGAACTCGGCTTCAATCAAACCCAAAGAGAAATAAGCAAGATTTTCCACACTTATTGGCCAGAGTGTCTTTACAACAAAAGAAGTAAAAATAAAACACAGATGCAGCTTTCTGTGGACAAACTGAGGTAAAAGTTGTAAATGGTAAATGTCCTGTACTTATATAGCGCCTTTTTTCAAGTTAGGAGACTTGACCAAAGCGCTTTAC